CTATGTCTTCATAGCCTCTCACTGCACACCAACATACGCCATTTCTTGGATTTAAGTCTAGCCGTCGATCAAGCGGCGTTTTGACGAAAAGATTCCTTTCTACCTGATGACGATCATGAAGAGGCTTAAAAGTGTTCAAAAGGTGTCCCTCTTGGTTTGGAGCTTGGTCGAAATCTAGCACTAGAGCCCATTCGGGGACCACTATGCCGTACAAATCACGGCCCTGTCTTGGAAGGCAAAATGGTGAACTAACCAGAACATATGACGTGTTTTCTTTCTCAAACCCGTTAACAACTTGAAAGAGTTTATCGGGCTCAAATTGATAAGTTCTTTTAGCAAAACGTTCGATAAGTTGTGTGGGTTTCATTTCTGTAACCATTCCTTGCTGATCCAAGCAAAAGGTTAGAAAAGGACTTGTAAGATGAATGGGATACGGCGATGCTCTAACATGAAGATGCACAACACACAAATCGTTCACTATAGCTTCAACTTCCTCAGAAGAAGCAATATCCATTTTATACTTTGACTTGTCGCTTCCAGTTTCCATCTCAGCCAGAAAGTGCTCCACGTTTAGTTTAGACGAATCTTTCACAAACAAGCCAAAGCGATTATCTTTTAACCGCAGAGCTGCGATTTGGCCTACCTTTGCTCTGGCAAACTTGGCAAGCTTCACGATGTCATCGGTTTTCTGAACAGTTACTGCAACAAACTTTTCCTCCTTTCCGACATACGTTTTGGGGTACTTTAGCACGTTCTTAGCCACATCACACTTAACTTCGATGAATTTCATAAAGAATTGGTTACTCTCAACAGGAGGCCATAGGTTACAGATCAACTTGCTGCTTTCATGTACTAGTTCCATTCGATCATTTACTGACATAGAAACCCCCACAGCAAAGCCAAACTTCGTTGTCCCATCTTCTTCTATTCCGAATAGAATGTCTCCCCCGTCAGAGTTCAGAAAGGAAGCAGCGTACTTCTTAACGTGATCATGCAAGATGACTTTCTTCGGATCTCCAAAAATTACTTTAAATTCCGTTTTGTCAGTTTCAAAGCTAACTTTCTTGAACAAGTGATAGTTTCCTTCACCCACTTCATAAATAGAGGCTTTGTCTACCTCTTGGTTTATACACGTTGGCGTTTTTTCGGGGATATTGCGACTTGCAAGTGATTCAAGGCGGTTAAATAGATCTTCAAAGTCTGTCATTATCTTTGTTTCGGTACCTACACGTATATACACATGGGAATGTTCTGGTTTGGCAAAGTTTACTACTGACGTTCCTTTCACTAAATGAATACGAAACAAAATTGAAATATCTTCTCTCTCTCCCAAATCCTCCACCAAACTAGGCGTTTTGGGTTGAAGCCACATGGCTGCCACAAAGTCTTTCTCTTTCTCCACATATTCATGCGCTTGCACGGCACTTGTACAAACACCAACCGTTTGGTCCACACTTGGTAATATACCGCCCACAGCTCTAGCCAAGCGATCTCTCTTCCGAATTATTTCATCTCGAGCCACTCTTGAGCCGGTCACAGTTCCATCACTAGTTACACCTACAAAAATGTCTCCAGTCATAGTGTTCTTAAGTGCCACTGCAATTTCCTTAATTTTATCCGACGGCGTATCTGGGGGACAATACAAAATCCCACGTGTGCTCTCCAAAATATCATTATGGAAAACGGGCTCCTGTGTCGATCCCTTTGCTGGGAAGATTCCACATTCGGTTGGCCACGGCATAGATAGTTGACGTTGATAAGAGCGCTGTACTTTGACGTCCTTCCTAAACGCTGCGTGTTCATCAGAATCGACGACAAGTTTAAAAGGTAGTATTTCAAATCCCTTCTTCATTGACTTGAGGCCTTTATCAAGACGTTCTACTTTTCCTCTCACAAACAATTGGTCACTGAGTTTCACATTCAAAACTGTTGAGATTTTGTGCTTGGTCAGAATCTTAGAATCGGGACAAGCTCTGATATCTACCTTTAGTTCCAAGAATGTTCCATCTTTTTCTGGATCATTCCTTAGCAAAACAGTGCCTGCACCACCATGGTTTTGCGGTCTAGACGAACATAGCCCTGTTACACTTATCAGCTCACCATCGGTTGGAGTCCGCTTAGAAAGTTCGTCAATGGTGAGATGATTTTCAATTTCGTCAATATTGTCAACAGTTCCAAACGGACCTTATTTGCCCGAAACACTGCAAAAGAGTCATTCATTAAGTTAATCATGTAAGTACACGTTTTTGCGCGAATATCCAACAAAGCTTTTAGTCTTAACCAGAGATATGTGTCAAGATTCTATTGTTTTACAAAACCGAACAGCTATCGCTTTACTCTGCCTGCACAATAAATCCCAAGTCAGAAAAGGAGCTACGAAAGAAACATATTCAAATTTAGGTGAAACTCATCTTAAGTGAGTTTGTAGAATGAAACAGGATGAGGAAACAATAGTAAATGAGTATAAGTAAATAAAAGGTCACCAGTTTTGAGAACTGCTAGGGGTCACAGAGCTTAGAAGCTGTTCTCCACCAACAGGGGACATGACTTTTGAAAAAGCTGTCTTAGGACCTCCAGTAGGGGCATCGTTACTCGTGGTTTTCATAGGTCCTGTGGAGCCTTTGGAAAAAAAAAATAGATTAACACTGTTGAAAAGAAAGAGGTGTAATAAAAGCATCATCAAGCCATCTCGCTCCAAATGGTATCATGAAACTGCATTTTTTTCTCTCTTCCTGCAAGATGCTCAGTAGGAAATGCATGGTCGGTAAGATTTGGATTGATAAGACAAACTAATGATTGCGATGTAAATCCCAGCACGGAGGATAACCGTGGTTAGAAGCACGTTGTGCAGTATAAATAAACTGTTGAAGCCAATCACCATGGCGGCCTCTTGTTCTCAGACAAAACCTAAGAGTGTCGTGGGAAAGATAGGGAAGACAACAGCCAGCGAGTGGGGCCCGTTATAGAATTATGCGCACGAACGACGAGACCGCCGCGTAAACTTGACAAGCAGCCGACTCTTTCGTTCTCGCGGGAACCCAACGCGAGCCAGTTCTCAGGCTATAGAGTTCTAACAGGACAATGGAATCTTTTTCTTTAGATAATTTAACTATAGAAAAGGTATCTAGGAAATTACTCATTTTTTCTCTAACACACCATCAACAAAAGGTATTCAGAAACTTGTAACCCTCTACCTACCTTTTCTTGGTGAGGCAGGGGGACTTTTACTTGTTTCACTAACATCAGCCTCCTGAGAGTTTTTTATCCATTTAGCCCAGAGGTTGAAAAACAAATCGCCTTGGTTTGGTGACCTCTCAATTCAATCCTGACGTTGTAAGTGGTTAAGTCCAGCGCCTGAGAGTGTCTTGAGCTTCAAGACATCAGCTTCGTCAATCTCATACATTTCACATACTTCATTTATCCAGGTTACCACTTGCGCCTTCTTCCACTTCCGCGGGTCTAAAACAAAGAAATTTAACTACATTGCTGCCTTGAATGGCTAGACGTTTTTCCTCTGTTTTGGCTGTTGTTTCTTAGAATATATCCAGTAGTGATTGCCAGCTGAATGTGTTAAATTTTCTTTTCCATTTCTTTTCTGTTAGCTCAAGTTATTTCTCAGAAATACAGAATATCATATTTGCAGAAAAAAATCATACGCTACAAAATAACAGTGGAAACACAACTAACGGAAGTAACTCTTCACCGAAGCAAAGAGCGAAAATTACCGTCCTTAATCCTGTCTCGGCCATTTCTTTGTGTGGAATATTTTTCTTTCTCCATTCCTAAAAATTATAATAAAACCCATACTATTAAACATCAAATTAAACCTTAGAATCTTTCGGACCGAAGCAAAGAGCGAAAATTACCGTCCTTAATCCTGTCTCCGCCATTTCTTGGTGTAGAATATTTTTCTCTCTCCATTCCTAAAAATAACAATAAAACCCATACTATTAAACATCAAATTAAACCTTAGAATCTTTCGCCACCGTCGTTTAGAGTCGTCACGCAACGCAGGCGTTTGATTGACGACCCTCTGAAACGACGGCTTAGAAGGAGACTAATTAAAATTACCATTTACAGTATATAGAATGCGATCAGTTGATTTACCTCCACACAATCCTAACATGAATGTTACAATCTTGTGTAAACCCTTGTTCTCTGAGAGTGTGTCGTAGAGAAATCTATAACAAG